CCTCAACCAGATGTACCGGCACGAACCCTAAAACCCTCCGAACAAGGCCCTAAACCCATTAATAATGAATAATTTATAACTTATAATTTATAATTTATAATTAATAATTAAGAATTAATATTTAATAATTAATCATTAATAATTTAAAAATAATAATTAATAATCAATAATTAATAATTAAGAATTAATAATTAATAATTATTATTTAATAATTAATAATTAATAATTAATAATTATTAATTAATAATTAAAAACCCCAGTTCCTGATAACCCGAAGCCCTCTGGAGAGCAAACCTCTGAGCCCCCAAAAACCTGTAACAAAAGCACGCTCCAAGAAGCACTCACGTCCTTAAAGCCCCAAGAGCCATCTTATGCCAGCTGCCCTAAACCCCCCAAACCCCAAAACCCAAAAGTCGCTCCTGAGGTCTCCCCTTCCAGGGTCCCAGCGGAGGCTTGAGGGAGCTTCCCTTTGCTGAGCATGTAGTTTCTTTTTTGTTGTTTTATTTGTGTTTTTTTTTTTTTGTGTGTGTGTGTGTGTGTGTGTGTTTTTGTTTGGGGGGGGGGGGGGGGGGGGAGTTCGGGTTTAGAGTTTAGGGTTTAGGTTTTAGGGTTTAGAGTTTAGGGTCTGGGTTTAGGATTTAGGGTTCAGGGTTCAGGGTGCAAGTTCAGGGTTTCGGGTTTAGGGTTTATGTTGGAGTTTAAGGGTTTTTTTGGTTTAGGGATTAGGTGTCCAGGGTGCAAGGAGTGAGGGCCCAAGGCTTGAGGCTTTCAGGTTTGAGGGTTGTCGCTCCCAGGGCATGCAGGGCTTAGGGTTTAGGGTTTGGGGTTTAGGGTTTAGGGCATTTAGGGTTTAGGGTATTTAGGGTTTAGGGTTTAGGGCATTGAGGGCTTGGGGTATAAGGAGGTTTGGAGGTTGGATATTGGGATGTTCCCCCTTGGACTAAAAGCCTTTCATCGGGATTATAGTACCCCCTATTGTAATCCCTATTATTCAGGACTGCTAGAAGAAGGGGAACATCCCAAGTTGGATATTTGAGAGGCTTGTTTGAGATGCTTTTGGGGGCCTGTCGCGTTGCTTGGGGTGTAGTTGATGGATTTTGGGGGTTTAGGGTTAAGGGCTTTGGGAGACTTGCGTTGAACCCCAAATAAAAATGCCCAAGCCCTAAACCCATATACAAGCACCCCTCAACCCTCAACCCTACACCCCAAGTCCTCAACCCTGGGGTTTAGGAAGTTCAGGGTATAGGGTTTAGGGTTTAGGGTTTAGACCTTAAAAGCCCGAGAGAGCGCCTCTTGAGATCTCCCTGCAGGCCGTCTGCGCCAGCCAAGCGCTCGCAAAATGCGCTGCAGAGTGTACCTGCAGGGATCACAGGGTCTTTATATATATATATATATATATATTTATATTTATATACATATGAGAATATATATATATACATATATATATATACACATATACATATATACATATATACATATATACATATATACATATATACATATATACATATATACATATATACATATATACATACATACATACATACATACATACATACATACATACATACATACATCCATGCATGCATGCATGCATGCATGCATGCATGCATGCATGCATGCATGCATGCATGCATACATACATACATACATACATACATACACACATATACATATGCATATATATATAGGGTTTGTAGGGTTTATGGGGTTTCGGCTTTGGAGATTAGAGGGTCTAATTGTAGGGTTTGTAGGCTTGAAAGGGTTCAGGGTTTAGGGTGTTGGGTTCAGGATTAGGGTTTTAGGGCTCAGGGTTTGGGGTTTACCTGTTGCTTTCTCTCCATATATCTACATATGCCTATATCTTATGATTCTAAAGAATGTTCAACATACCCCTTGCGCGTACCCCTTACAAGAAATCAAAGGGAATGGAACAATCCTTCCTTATGTTCTCCTTTCGGAGGTTAAACCCTAAACCCTAAACCCTAAACCCTAAGGGGTATGGGTTTGGGGTAAATGATGCTTTTATTGGAATGAAGCTGTCCTACATGCGGAGTCCCGCGTTCTCTACTGGCCCCAAGCCAAATCCAGTGCAGAACGACCATTCTGCCTTAAAGCTCCAAGCCCCATAGACTGGCCGTGGTCATCTAGGGTTCAGGGTTCAGGGTTTAGGGTTTAGGTCTCAAGAACTTTCGGAGGTTCTGGGGCTTAGGGCTTTGGAGGGCTTAGAGGGGTTCCGGGATTGGGGAGTCTAGTGTTTAGCTCTGGGTGTACTTATCCTTGCGGAACAACTCACTATGATGCTTCATGGGGATGCTCTGCCGCAGCTTTCCTCAGAGATTCCACTCCAAGAGATCATGAATCAACCCTCAAACCCTGAATCCACTGACTCTGAACCCTAAAGTTCCTGAAGCCTCAACACTGAATCCTACAACTCAGAGCCCTGAACCCTAAGCCCTCAACCCCTCATCCCAGAACAACCCTGAAGCTACGGGACCCTTCTCAACCCTTATTCCTGCATCCGCGGCTTTGATTTTCATCGGCCATGCCCGGCATCAGCTCGGAACCAAGACCGCCGCAAGTCCCTGGGGTTTCGGGGGGGTGGGTGGGTGACGGTTTAGGGCTTAAAGTTTAGTATTTAGGTTTTTAGGGCAGGATTCTTAGCGCTTATGGCCCTTAAGCCCCCAAGGTACTTTTTTGTCCATGGAAACTGGCTCTTTTCGTCATTTTTTGACGGTGAGCGAGGACGTTTGATTGCGGAGCGGTTATGAAGACGCTCAATCTGTTGTTGTGGCGTACTCAGAAGTTGCGCAAGTTGTGTGAACATGACGGATACCCCGCTGCACCGGAATTCTGAAACCCCGAACTGTGAATTTTAAAGCGCTTCAAGCCCCTGAGGCCCCCTCTGCACCCTGAACCCCAAAAGGCATCAGCACCTACCCAGAAATCCCCGGAAGCCCTGTGATGCCCCACAGACCGAAGGTCTCGGGCGCCTCGCACTACTGGCCTGCTTCGCCTCAGCCGTGGAGGCCCTTCTGCCTGCAGCTTGGGGCGTGTTGGGCTTAGGGTTTAGGGCCGTTTAGGGACTGGCGTTTGGGATGTTGCCCCTTATACTAACAGTCGTTAGTAGGGATTATAGTCCCCCTGTTAGTATATCGGGGCGGGAACATCCCGAATTTGCGTTTAGGTTTAGGGTTATTTAGGAATTGCGGGGCCTCTTTAACGTGCCTCCCCCGCCCCCTTCCTGAGCCGAGGCTGATGGGATCCCCCCGGATTTCTCATGATTTGGAAGAGATGAGGAATATGAACTGGAAGGGTTTTCTAACAAAAACGGAAGAGGAGGAAGAACTGGGAGGGCGCGTGAGGGCCCTCCCACCTTCGAAGGGAGTACAGTTTATATTCACCCAAGTGGCCAAACGGCTGCTCCCTCGCCTTAAGAGTTTGAAGAGCTTTGCCTTGAAAGGCAAGAGGCCTGGTACATCGAAAGCCCACTGGGCTTGAGATTTCAAGATCTTGGGCCTTAGTTCAAGAGGGCGGCCTTGAAATCCAGGGTTCCCTTTCCCTACAAGAGCACTTAGGGGAGGGCTGACCTCAAGCTTTCAAGGGGCGGGGCCACCCTAAACCCTAAACCCTAAGCCCTAAGCCCTAAACCCTAAACCCTAAACCCTAAACCCTAAACCCTAAACCCTAAACCCTAAACCCTAAACCCTAAACCTAAACCCTAAACCCAGCCCAAAACACGATTCGTTGAAATCCAGTTGGCCTTCCAGCCGAGGGCCAAGGCATCGAAACCCAGAGCCCCTGACGACCGGGACCAGGTTTAGGGTTTAGGGTTTAGGGTTTAGGGTCTAGGGTTTCTAGGGTCATGAGTTTAGGGTTTAGGGCGGCCTTTGAATATTAGCTAGGTAGCCCCTTGGGACATTTTATATTTGACCTTTTCTTGCTTAAGAGGACAATGCTCAGGAATAGCTATCAGAGGGTCTCCAGGGCCATCCTAGTAGCGAGGGACTCAACATCTCGGGCCATGATAGGACTTGGTAGCCCAGAGGTACCGTTTGCCCATTGTTGGTCCAAGATTCCCTTCTAAAGTAACCAACCAATCAAAAAAGGGTGCCCTTCCTTATTAGAATATGGTTACTTGGGCTACCAAGAGGAAATCCCGGACCACCACCCCTTTACCGTTTTGTCATATGAGTTTGTTTTTTTGTTTTGCTTTTATTTTATTTTTTTTTTGGGGGGGGCGTTCTTGGTTTCGGCTCAGTTGAGATTCCGGAAGGTTTGGTTTCTGGGGGTGGTAGGACTTACATTGTTGAAAACAACCCGAAAACCCACAACAAATTTGAACCCAAGCCGGACAACTTGGCTTTATAGATGACCCCCCCCCACCCAAAACCCCCATGCAGTCCCACCATCCTGAAAGGCCCATAGTTTTTTCGTACCAGTAACTTCCCCCTTAGTTGTGTAGACCTGCGCGGTTTGGGTGTTGGGTTGTTGGGGGGAGTTGAGTTCGATCATATGGGGTCCCTTAGCACACTATGAAGGGTTTAGGGTTCTAACCGGGGGGGGGGTGATGGGGTTTCTTGCTCATGGCATGGGTTCGCTGCATGACCTTGAACGCTGGGCTTAAGCTTGTGTAGGCCGCATGAGGAGATTGAGCCATCAGAGTCAGGTAAGTCAGGTTGACGGCTAGATCACCTACAACCCCTAAGCCAATAATCCTTAAGCCCCACAGTTAGCCATAAGGGCGCCCGGGAATTGATGTTTCAGAGGCAGCGGAAATCTGCTCGGGTAGCTTTGGAAGTGCATGGTTGGGACTTGAGGAGCTTCCGTCAGCAAGTCATGCAAGTGCATTGCTGCGATGTAGACTGGCGAGCCACCCTAGACCCTTAAGCCCCTATGCCCCTAAACCCTGAACCCGGAGCCTAAGCCCTAAGCCCTAAGCCCTAAGCCCTAAGGTTTAAGCTCTAAGCCCTAAACCCTAAGCCCTAGCCCTGTGTGCCATGTTACACGTGTGGTGGGCTACTTCTGGGCAGCCACTGGCTTCCGTGACGCAAGAGGAGCTGAGTGATGTCAGGACTCTGAAGCAGCATCTGCGAGCCCTGCACGGCTTCCCCATATGTATTCAGCAGCTCCTTCATGATGGCCATTGCTTGGAGGATGGTTGCAAGCTGGAAGTACCTGGGCCACGATTTTTGGCTGTAAGACCCTGCAAATCATGAGTTAGAGTATGTTTTGCCTCTCCGAATGACACCGACTCGTGTGCCCTAAACCCTAAACCCTAAACCCTAAACCCTAAACCCTAAACCCTAAACCCTAAACCCTAAACCCTAAACCCTAAACCCTAAACCCTAAACCCTAAACCCTAAACCCTAAACCCGAAACACTAAACCCTAAACCCTAAACCCTAAACCCTAAACCCTAAACCCTAAACCCTAAACCCTAAACCCTAAACCCTAAACCCTAAACCCTAAACCCTAAACCCTAAACCCTAAACCCTAAACCCTAAACCCTAAACCCTACTCGGTTGACAGAGGCACCCATGGACTTACAGTTGGTCCTCTTGACCGTCTCCAATACACAGGGCGGACAAGCCGAAGCTTCTTGGGGTTGGGGTTTAGGGTTTAGGGTTTCGGGTTTAGGGTTTAGGGTTTAGGGTTCAGGGTTTAGGGTTCAGGGTTCAGGGTTCAGGGTTTAGGGTTTAGGGTTTAGGGTTTAGGGTTCAGGGCTACGGGTGCAGGGTTGAAGTTTGGGGGTCTCAGGCTTTCGGGTCGACATGGCATAGGGTAATCTACTACCCCAACCAGGGTTCTGTGAACTCTAAACCCTACACCCTAACTCCAGAACCCTAACCCAGATTCCTGAGCCCTAAACCCCAAACCATATAAAGCCCAAACCCCTAAAAACCCTAAACCTTACAGGCTTTTTGGGCCTCATTTCCCCTAAACCTTGAACCCAAACCGCCCAAACCCTAAACCCTAAACCAGCTAACCCCTAACCCCTAAACCCTAAACCCTAAACCCTAAACCCTAAACCCTAAACCCTAAACCCTAAACCCTAAACCCTAAACCCTAAACCCTACAGGCTCTTTTGGTCTTTTCCCTAAGGCTGAGTTGGGTCTGGCCGCAATCCAGGGCCACGTCGAGGTGGCGCGGTTTCTGCTGGCGGCAGGTACCGACCTTGGGGTGGACTTTGGGATGTTTTTTGTTTTTTTGGTTCGGTTTTAGGGTTTAGGTTTTAGGGATTAGGGTTTAGGGTTTAGGGTTGAGAGTTTCGGGTTCAGGGTCAAGGGTTTAGGGCGTCTAGAAAACGACCTCGTTCAGGGATCCTGTTCTTAAAGCGCTTGAAGGGAGCCGGCCCAGGACCAGAATGGTCAGAAGGCCCTTCCCCGCGCTTCTGCCCAGGGCAACTTGGAGATGGTGCGATTGCTGCTGGAAGCTGGCGCAGATAAGGACTTAAGGGACTAAAAGAGGACCCTTATTAGGGTTTAGGGTTTAGGGTTTAGGGTTTAGGGACTTAGCGGTGATTTAGCGGGCTACTTAGGAATGTAGGGACTCTAGCCCCTTGAAGGACATGAAGGTCACCTGCGGCCACACGGCCCTGACGCATGCGGCGGAGGAAGGCCACGAGGAGATTGTACAGCTGCTGCTGGAGGCACGGGCAGACAAGGACTCCCAGACCCATCATAGCCGGACGGCCCTTCACTGCGCTTGTGACTTGCTAGCCCAGTGGTACCCTGTTACCTTTTTTGTTTTTGGGGGGTTCTGGTTTCCCTTCTAAAGTAGCCAAGCCAAAAAAGGGTGCCCTTATTCTTATATGGCTACTGGGCTACCAAGGTGACAACGGCCACGTGGAGATTGTTCGTTTGCTACTGGAAGCTGGGGTGGACAAGGATCTGCAGGACTGGTATGGTGACACGGCCCTTCACCGCGCCTCTCTCAGCGGTCAGGTGGACATTGCACGCCTGCTGCTTGAGGCCAGGGCTGACAAGGACGTTCTGAGCAGGAGCGGCAACACAGCTCTGAGCTTCTGGGTAGCCCGGTGGTACCCTTTTCCCTCTTTTGGGTTCAAGGCTCCCTTACAAAGCAACCCTAAACCCTAAACCGTAAACCCTAAACCCTAAACACTAATTAGACCCTCAACCCTAAACCCTAAACCCTAAAGTAATATGGTTACTGTGTTACTTAGGCTTGGCATCGGTTGAGGGCCACATTGAGATCGTGCATTTGCTGCTGGCTGCCGGTGCGAACAAGGAGACCCAGAATTGGAAGCCCAGCTCGTCTTGCAGATAGGTTTAGGTTTAGGGTCTAGGGTTTAGGGTGTTTGAGTATCAGAATTGGAAGCCCAGCTCGTCTCGCAGGGCTTTTGAGCAGAGCGCCATTCTTTCTTGCGTGTTGGAGGAACTTGCATCCTTGACTCCTGACTCTTCCCTCAGCCCTAAAACCTAAACCCTAAACCTTAAACCCTAAACCCTAAACCTTGCACATTCGAGCCATGACTTCAAAGCAACAAAGCAAGGTATGGGGTCACGGCCCTCGGTCGCGCTCGCGTCAAAGGCCACGATGAGATTGTGCGCTTGCTGCAGGAGGCCGACTGACAAAGACTGAGTGAAGCCCCCACCTTTCATTACAGAGTGCTTCGCCAGCCATATCCGGAGGATTCCGACTGGCGCTTGTATCTTCCAAGGATTTCCAGGTTCTATGGACAAGGGCCGCAGCACGACCTGTGTAACACAGTCGTGTACCCGCTTCTATTGCCCTTGCGCTTGTGAAAAAGCAGGCTAAACCCTAAACCCTAAACCCTAAACCCTAAACCCTAAACCCTAAATGCCCTAAACCCTGCACCCTAAACCCTAAACCCTAGTTTCTGTTGAAAATGGTGAAAACCCTCAGTGACAAACCTCCACATCTACACCTCCAAAAACCCTCGAGATATAAATATGAGACTGAGCTCGTGCTTGTTCTACACTTTAGGGTTTATAGGGTTTAGGTGTTAGGGTTTGGCACAGTGGGCTTGGACGTAGCTTGGACATTGGAGTTGTAGCTTCATGCCTTCATCTCGAGCGGCTTGCAGGACGCCAAGAGCCTAAAACCCCAAGACCCTAACTAGGGCTTAGGGTTTAGGGTTTAGGGTTGAGGGTTTAGGGTTTAGGGTTTTGGATTTAAGGGTTTATATAGGGCTTAGGGTTTATATAGGGTTTAGGGTTTAGGGTTTAGGGTGTTGGGATTTAAGGTTGAAGGCTTAGGGTTTCTCAAACCCTAACTAAACCCTGAAGCTCGAGACCCAAGACTCATTCTGTGTCACGTGCTTCAAAGTCCTAGCCGTTGTTCCTGAGGTATGACTTCTAAACTCTAGATCTGTAAGTTTCCTCAACTCGAAACCCGAAGACGCAAATACAAGTATCTGCTCTTCCGGTGAGCGTCTCAGGAAGACTTGATAGGGTTTAAGAAGGGTGGGGGGTTTAGGGTTTAGCAGAACCCTAAACCCTAATCCCTAAAAGCGCTACTCTAACTACTCCTCCGCAGACTCCAGCAGCTCCCTGTCAAAGCCACTACAGCTGACATGTCAGGTATCCCTAAACCCTAAACCCTCAACCCCAAACCCATAAATCCTAAGCCCGAAAATTGCCCACAGCACCCCCTCTCCTTGTCTTCCCCAGCGCGAGGCCACAGCTCAAGGGGCTCTCAAGCTAGACAACTACACCTTCAACAAGGCTGGGGGGGGGGGGGGGGGGGGCGCAGACTCTGGGAATTCTGGGAGCCCCGAGCCTGAAAACCCTCACCTTTTAAACCCTTTCAGAATTCTTAAACCCCTTGAACCCCTAAACCCTCAAACCCTAAACCGGGAATCCGGATATCTGATTTTGTCCTGGTTTGAGGGAATCCCAGGGGCCAAGGGTCAGGTCTCAGGACTGCAGGCCTTGAGCTTAACTCAACAACCTCAAGTTACGGGTGTAGTGTTTTTGGTTGCAACCCTAAAGCCCTAAGTTCTCTAAAGCCCTAAGCCCTACAACCCTAAAACCCGAAACCATAAAGCCCTAAATTTCAGCGTACCCATTTGGGGGGTTTGCGAAAGGAAGGGACCCCGAATATAGTCCCCAAAACAGCAGGATTCCCTTTTAATCAGGACCCCAACAAGGTACCCCCCCCCCCCCTATTTCCTTCTTAATCTTCTTAAGTTGGTTGTTCCCCCTTATGCTAGCAGTCCTTAATAGGGACTATCGTACCCCCTGTTTAGAATCCCTACTACTATATCCCCCTTGGGAAGTACTTTCTATTCTTGTTCATGCAAAACCCAAGACGATATTAATAATACTTTTTTTTTCAGGTTCTAAGGGGAGTATAGATTCAGGACGGTTTTTATTCAGGTTCTAAGGGGAGTAGAGATTAAGGACGGTTAGTGTAGTGGGGAAGATTCCAATTCTTAAGTCTTTTGTGGGGGTTTGTGGGCCCTGTTGGCTCCCAAAGCTCCGACTCTGTCGGCTTCTGGCTGCATGGGGTGTAGGGTTTAGGGTTTAGGGCTCAGGGTTTTCTAGGGTTTCTAGGGTTGTCCAGGGTTTCTCGGGCGTTTAGGGCTTCCAGGGTTTCTAGGAATTATATGTTTTTTTTTCCAGAGGTTCTAGGGTTAATGGGGTTTCCAGGGTTTCGAGGGTTTATAAGGCCCAAAGAATGCCAATGCCGTAGGTATGCGTTACTTGGGGAAGCCCCTACCAAGGGGCTCTTGGGAATGTTGGTTGGGTTTAGGGTTCAGGGTTTAGGGGCTTAGGGTTTAGGGCTTGGGGTTTAGGGTTAAGGGTTTAGAGGCGGGGGAAGGGGAGGGGGGGGGGGGGGGGTTGGCTCGACTTAGAGCCAGCTGGGGGAGGAGAAGGTGGATGCAAACCAAGGGTCAAGGTACTTTGTGCACCATACGCGCCCTTGTATATGGGGCCTTCCAAGCATGCGATTGAGTCTAGAGAACTGCATGTTTGCCCATGTGGAGGGGTTCTTCATTTCTTTTCTTGGTGTGTGCCTACGTGGGTGTCCCTTCAAAGATACGAGCAATAAAATACCCTAAACCTCATGTCACGACGATCTGGAGTGGTTTGGTCCTGCTCTGCGTCTGCAGAGCACCCTGTGTTAGTGCAGGATCGTAGGATGCTACATTGACCTGGGCTCCGCTCAGCCCTAAACCCTAAACCCAAAACCCTAATCCTGAACCCCAAACCCTATCCCTAAAAGCCCAAACCCGACCTGGCTTAAGTTTTGGCGGCCAGGTGACCTCCCTCCCCGGCTGGAGCTTTCTGGTGAAGTCTTTCGACTCTGTCTTTAGGGTTTAGGGCTCAGGGAGTGTTCTTTCGGGGTGTAGGGTTTAGGGCTTGGGGTTCCGGGTGTGTATTTATTATTATTATTCTTGTTTTGTTTTTTTTTTTTGGGGGGGGGGGGGGCAGGGGAGGGGTTAGGGTTCAAGGTTTGTGGTTGAGGGTTTTGGAATTTGTTTGGTTGGGGATTTTCGGTTTATATAAGTTTGGAGGGTTTCGGAGGGCTTGCACACCAAACCTCAAGCCTGTCCTGATCCCCTAACGCCTTCACAGCCTCTTCAATGCTGAATAAGATCCACCTCCGAAAAGCGCGAAGATGCAAGCATCCCCATAAAAGTGGTCTGTAGACCGAAAGTACCCCGTTCTTATATGGCTTTTTCGATATTTGGGGTGTATATCAGGGGTTCCTTGCAATCGTAAACTCCCACATGCACTAGGTCTCGATACCTGTAGCGAGGTTTGACAAGTCCTACGCCTACGGCGAGAAGGAGGACGAGTTCAAAGCCCTGTGCAAGCACGCCCGAGCCTTTGAGTTTGCAGTCGGCCCTCATTGCGCTTTGCGCGGCTTCCTAGCAGATGTAAACCCTGAATGTCTCACCCTATCCTAACCCTAAACCCCAAACCCAGGCTTAGTTGTAACAGCACTCTTCCCAAAACCCATGTTTAGGTACGCACCTCAAAAACGAAGCCTCATCAAGGGTACCACCGTAAGGGGTCCAACGAAGAGTCCCATGATCATTTCAAGCCCTGTCAAGGCGCACCAGGCACCAAACTTCATGGTCGCCGAGGCACTCCGCCTGTTTTAGGGTTTAGGCTTTAGGATTTAGGGTTTTTGGTTTAGGGTTTAGAGAAGGGTCCGTTCGGGTTTACGTTCCGAAGCCCTGAACCCTACGGGGGCTTCGGTTTAGGAACCGAAATGCCCTGAACCCTAAACCCTACGACGTAAACCCTAAACAATAAACCCTAAACCCTCAACCCGAAGCCCTAAAACCCTAATCCCTAAACCCTAAACCCCAACCCTAAAGCAAGCCCGAAGAGCAACCTCCAAGAGCAGGCTACTTTCTACAGATGCAGGTTCGCTGGAATAATTCCTAGGGCGTGGCATTTGTATGTCGACGAAGTGCTACGATTTGCTAAAGCCCCCCCCTCAACAA